AGATCTTTGAAGTATTGAAGGAAATCTATGAATTCAAGACTCAAAGCCTCCGATAGATACAGGACACCAAGGTCAACCGAAGCTTAAAAAGCTTGAAGACATTTTGGTTGCCTAAAATGCATATCCCTTATCAACCAATCCTTAAAGGACAACTTGACTTATTGTGAGTAGGAAAGGATGTCCCGACAGGAAGCCGACAACTACCAGGAAAGCAGCCTTGCCCGCCCTGCTGGCAAGGTACTGACACACATCCTATTCAGCAGCCTAAAGGGGTTTACTTCCGGGAGAAAATAGCTTTAAAGTGCTATATGAATTCCGAAATGGACCCAGCACGGTGCATCTTAGTTTTTCATTGAGTTGGCTCCAAGAATCAAGCCCATCTTTACACACTGTGTTAAAAGACTCTTCGGGAGCCTTCAACTCGGTTAAAGGAGGAGCTTTGTGAATCGTGCCAGAAAATTTTCAACATTATCAGATCCCCTCACCTCGGTATGAGGGCCCGAGTATATACCTGTAAATCTACCTCTACCGAGTTTAAAATCGACAAAGGAATGAAGCAAGGTTGCGTTCTGACGGTAACTGCGTTTCACGTGTATCTGAATACGACTTCCGAAGGAGTAATCCATAATTCGGTGAATAGTGTATTGATCCACTATCCTTTAGATTGTCATCTTAACAAGCCGAAACGTCTCATCGCCAAAACCATAGTGAGCGTGTCAAGGACGCACGCACCGTTTATTTAGAATGACCGTGCTTTAGTTCCACACGCGGAGGGAGAACAGTACATAGCGAATGGCCACAGTTTTCGTCCTGGTATCCTCTTTCTCTGACCCAGAGCACTCGTACGTTAAGTACCTTCCTGAACAACAAACACATTAAATTATCGGCCGCTGTGCAGCCCGTTAAAATAACTTCCGCCGCCCCAGCAGCAACCTGCTCACAGATTTGGCAATATACACATGCTCGGGTTACAAAGGCAGGCGCCACTTCTGATCGCCCGAGAACGGCAGAGTTCCCGCTGTCGTGATGAAATACAGGTAAGTCTTAAAAACGGTAACCTTGATTTCACCTCTAGGAAAATTCTAGGACTTGACATGACAGTCTGTAGAACCACCGTCTGCAAAAGCTTAAAGGATATCGCGTTCTCAATGCACGACCGCAAGCCGTACATTCAAAATGGTCACATATCTCGGAACCCAACAGTGGTCACCTAGGTCTGCGCAACTTGCGACCCTACTTGAAAGAGCAGAACCTGACCCGTAGATCACCAAAGCACCCATCTTAAACCACCACAGAAGTTTCAGTGAATCAACTGGGTAATTTTCTTACATCGCAGGCCAACATATGCTGAATGCTAGTCTGCTGTGCCGCGTCTACTCAAAACCTACCCAACCCTACTACGAGGTGACAGTACCAGTGGTCTTCCGGCTTCTGGTTTACCGCCTGATTATCCATTCTAACCTATTTGGCGCGGTGCTGGGTATTCTCCAGAGAGAAAGGAGATCACCAAGGGGAAATACGGTTTATCGTTAATGAGAAAGGTTAGCGTTTTGGTTAAAAGATTTATTGTTGGTGCTGTTTGTTATGCCATCTCGATTTAGATGGCTCCAACTCCAGTTTCTGTAGGAAAACGGCTACATATGTATGCATCTGCAACACTGCACGTATGTTCATGGTTCGCTAGTAATTTTTATTTTTTCCACTAGACTTACACGCCGATGCCTAAATTTTTCACAGACGTCGTCACTATGCACCAGTCATTTGTCGGGGGCAGACAACGCGCTCGAACAGTGTCATCTAACCAAACACTAGTGAAATAGTCGGGTTATTCGTAAATAAGTGGCCAATCCAATTGACAGGAAACTTAGGTTAATCGATACACCTTTAATATATGAACGTAAATATTGGCTTTTCCTGAAACAAGTAATGACGCAGTGTGTTTCACTCGTACCGGAACCTATTAGTTAATGAAATTTTGTCTCACTGCTTAAGCTATTGACGGAAGAGATGCAAGCGTTAATAAGCTTTCCTATTTATGACGACTGAAATTAGTGAATGCTACTCCTAAAGAACATTCGGGGACGTTGTCATACAATATGACTATTAACGCACGAGCATATGTAGGCATCAAGTCCGATAGAAAGGGTGACATTAAAGATGAAGCGGAAGATCACAGTGACCATAACGACGGTTGTGTTGATGCTGATAAATCTACGCTTCTAAGTCTAGGGACGTTGAAGTTGCAAAAAGTATGTGATCTACAGATCAAAGCCTGAACTTGAAATCATACCATTAGAGAAGAATTGAACATTAAGGCTCCAGGGACAAGTCGGGGATGTTTTCATCTATCACTGTTGTTTTTTGATGGCTTACTGTTCACAGGGATGCAGAAAGCCCTTCAGCAACCTATATATGTCTTCGACCTTCCTTCGGACAGGCATAACTCCAGAGTCTCTTGGAAATTCATTTGTATGTACATCACTTGTGCATCACTATGGTATTGCCGGGAGATCCAACTGAATTTCCGGTTTATGGTAAGTACGGTACGTCAATAAAATATCTCGAATACCATGCTCAGTTAAACACGAGGCAGCCTTTGTGTGGTAGCTGAAATATATCCTAAACAAAAGATTCAGCTGAATCTGTCGTTTGCATCAATGGGCATGGCAGCTAAGTTTTTACATGTGACCCATGATCAACTAATCACGGATTGGTTCTCAGGTTTAACTCAAACTCATATGAATGTAATATCTAGCTTCTAGGTAGATAAAAGTGGCCACGTAAGGAGAGGTTTGGAATAATATTAACTCTCTATGTTTACTCTATGCTTGGAGTTCATTTGTTTTTGCCATTCATTCCTTCGATTTGTGTAACTGAAGAGAGCTATTTCAAGTGTTGCTCATGTACTTGCCCATCAAATGAGTGCACACCAAGTTTCGCCTTATAGACACTGCAGCTACTAGAAGGGCGCCAATGCACTCTATGCATCCTTTCGCGGTGTGTGCCTTTACTTACACGTAGATAAAGAAACACTGAAAATTAGCCAAACGTTTCGCACCTTAGACTCTTGTAGACTTTCTGTTTGCTCGTCGTCCTCATACATTTTTAAAACCGACAGAATATGGATACTAACATTGTCCTTGGTGGATAGTTGTGCACTTTCAAAATTACCATAAAAACGTACATGCTTTGTATCTGTGAAAACTTACAAAGCTCTCAACCTGGGCTTCAAAACAACGCTTCCAGTAAACGGCCAGCGGAAGTCGAGCCAACCGAAGTGCACATCTTGTTCGACCAACTGTGTCAAATAGTTCCATGGCCTCCAAAAATTTCACTGGCGCTCCGGACGAGCGACCAAGAAATGCGCTTGTGCTTTGGAAATCTTTCTGAGGTTGAGACGCAGAAAAGTCGAGAAAGATATATGGGGAGAGTCACCTTAAATTCGTTACTTGTTAAGAAACGATGAACGTGCTAGCACAACCGCAGAGTACCGGAGGTTCATCCACGAAGCGTCATACGCTGGTCTTTTATTTATGCAGGACTGCGACCAAGACTCCATGCGAACGAAAAACACCGCAAAACACACTTATACCACCAAACCAAGGACGTCAAACATGGCGAGTGTCGTGCGATCCGATGGCTCGATCTCGATGCCATGAGTGCCCTCTGCACACTCCCAAACAAAAATCGCTCACTCACCCACGCACACACAATGCATGCACGCACAACGCACGCACGCACACACGTGTACACACACAGACACGCAAGTATGCACACGCACGTCCATGACATGGTACATCCCTAACAATCACCCCCTCAAATGACAGCGGATGCCCCGGTGCTTTGATCTCTGTAATTTGTTCCTTGACGAAAGCCATCCTTCGTGGAAAATTTCACACACACACACACGGTTTCAATAAATTAATGCACAATCCACAGAATTTCATCTAAAACCAGAGGCAGCACAATACTCAAAATTTCCCATCTCCTTTTGCCTTAAATAGGAGACAGCCTGTTAAAAGCAGACGCTTAGCAAATGAAGTCTACAAGATAGTTTGGCCAGGTAAATGCAAATGGAGGGATGACGGACATTACTGCTGTGCCTCTTATTTTCAATGGAATCGGCACCAGGAAAGCTTCAGAGATGAACTGTAACCACGTTATTTTGTACGAAGCTCAGTCGAAAGTTTCGACATAAGAACTAACTCGAAAATCAACAACAGAACCGGGATTATCAGCTCGGTTCACAAATGAAACTGTGAATGTCATTTTGGGGACAACATTATTGGATAGTGTTATTTCTTTTTAATAACTACTGTGGAAACAAACACCAGTGTTATGAATCAACTACTAATATACATCACCGAAGGTATTTAGTATTGGTGGCGAATAGTGGAAAAATAAGAGTGACAGAGACGTTCTTTGTTTGTCACTGTACTGGACAGAGGTTAATCATAATGATTTGGAGTCTGAGTTAGAGCGTGCGGCTTTGGATAGCGCTTGTATTAGCATGATCGTTCAGCTGTAGCACCCTTTCTGCCATGCTACTAGAAAGAAGCACGAGGGCTGGGATACTGCGAGGTTGCCCAAACCTAGACAGAGGAAGTCGAGAGGCAGAGGTCGGGTTCGAACCACGAAGCTTCCGGGCAGTAAATTCGCGGTCTAGCCACTGAGCCATCTCGCCCCCTCATTAGCGTAGCACGGTTCTGATTGTCATCTAGAATACCTGACTTTTCGCTTCCATTCTGTTAAAACGACGCGGTGGTTGGGAACAGCTTTGGTCCAGGTTCTGGCACTCGGTTAGGGACTACTGAGTATGTTTGTCCTACCATGTATGAGTAAGGCTAACTCGTGACCCACATCACCCATCAGGCAGAAAATATGGATCACATCATGAGAACGGGTATGACATGCCTTCGAATATGCTGAGCTTAATGTGCAGAGTCAGTCGCTTAGTTCAAAACAAATACGTCGAGTTTGAGAAGTTGTTTAGATTTTCACTGTGCAGGAACGACAAGACTAATCTGAAAGGAAACGAGAATAGAGATTGCTGTGGAGACACTGTAAATCCTGCACGTGTAATGACGGTAAGTGCAAAACGGTTTTAAACTGCGTAAAAATAAATAAGGTGAGGCGCTATGCAGGGTAAACTGTGTCTGAAGTTTACCGCACGTCAGCCGGCAACTGAGCGAATGTTCTTTGTCTACACAGACTTATTCTGGTTCTATCCTGTCACACTGTATGTGGCGAAAGTAACGTGAACCGATAGGAAGACATAGATTGCATGAGTCCTGATGATACAAGTACTCAACGTTCTAACTTATGGTGGCACTGAAAGCAATTTAAAAGACTAACTGTATTGGATTGCTGATGAAATAACTAAAGTGAGGGAAGTAAACTCACTGGATGAAAGTGTATTTGTGTTAGTTGGTGGCTCGACTCATCCAGTCGTGCTTCGAGTTCACCCTGTCGAGCAAGTAATAATCCTCGCTGATATGCATACCAACCCGCCCGGAATGGCCAGGCGTCGGGACGTCTAGTCAGTTGAGCCTCAGTTGCCTTTAAATCCTCGAGTACAGCATTTTGCCCAAAGTGCATGGGTATACGTCTTCTGAGCGAAGGTTCGAAGTCAAGAAGCACATCGGCTGCTGGTAAACGTCGGGCTGCCAAATTCGGATCCGCGCTGAGTGTATCCATGCGCAAGATGGTGCAAGCAAGCCAGAAATTTTCATCCGATGGATCCAACTTCTGTCGCACAAATGGGCATAAGATCAAACGGTTAGAAAAACTTCGAACTCACCTCTGTGTATCAGGCTCATAGCGAGCTGCGACAGAAATTCTTTAGAAACTTGGGGTCCATTCAAATCAGTGCAGCCGCACGAACATAGTCTCACGGTTCCTTTTGCATATCCAGTTTGAAAATACAAATCTCTCCAACAGATACGGATCCCTAATTGTTATCGATGTCAGCTAGCCATACTACAAAGTGGTCTACTAGTAATCAAACTACTGAATTTAATTCATCCCACTGAATTCGTGAAGGGATGATTGCTGCATATATACGTACGGAAAGAAGCCTAACTGGAGAATCCCACTGCCTCCCCACACAGAGCAATAGTGTTCTTGAAGAGAATTTACGCACTAAAATCACCACCAAGTGTACTTTCTGTTCTTCTAGGTTCTTGTAATCCTTCTGATCTAAGACATCAGTAAATCACAAGAAATGCCAGTGTTGACAAAGCAACCCCAGGCCCTAAGAGTATGAGAGGGGTTGTATCTTATGGACTGTTTTAAGGGGTGTTCAAACTCTCAGTGTGTGTGTGGGGGTATCTTATGGTCGTACAGAGCGCTATGAACTGTAACATGTGCAGTGAGTTTCATTCAATTTTGGATCTCCCACAGTCTTGATGCGGTATATCAAATTCATTGTAATAATGTCTGATACAATCCACTTCGCATTCGGTTAGCCTCTTCTAATGGGCCACGAATAACTACACACCTGACAATCCTACTTCAGGTGAAAGGGAGTCACAAGTAACTAAAATGATTTTAAGCATTATCATTATTGAAAATGTGACCTTTGACGAAATAAAACTGTTCTGTATGAATGCCATTTGCGTGGGGGATGACGTGAGTCAGCCTAGATGCGTTAACTGTTACGGTATAGCTCTCCAAGAATTTGCAGATCATAATGATCATCATAGTCATCATCGCCATCATCGACATGACATTCGCGCATTCTGTGGCATAATCTTGTGATACTCTGATTTGGTTTCTGTGCTAAGCCAACCCTTGTGGTTTCATGAATGCAAATTTCTCTCTGGATAGATACCATTCTTCAAAAAAGATGAAACCAACCCTCAGAAGGACCAGTTGTGGTCATTCTTCAAGTAGTTGTTCCACAAAAGTGTACAATTTTGTCCTTTTAATGAGACCATCCTTCACAATATCACTGTCGACCAGTCTTTTCAGAGCACTGTGTCAAGGTTTCTCAATATGTAGAGATCATTTGAACAGACTAACCACCGACGTTCTCTTTTGAGATGCACTCTCTCCTAAAAGGGTTACAAACTTAAAAATAAAGCTCACAGGCGACCGACTGAAGACAAACATTTCTGATGAGGATAGCTGTGACAGGTGTACCCTACAATTGAAATCCACTGTGTATGGCTTGGAGAATTTCGGGAAGGAATTTCGTTTTCATGCTGATTTCTCGTTACCGCCAGTATAAAAAGAAGCTACGTCAAATGATGTCACGTTGTGGTCTTTGGTGACAGGAGACAAAGCAACTACAGTCTCATATAAAAACGTATGTGACTGAAGAGTTTCACGCAGATCATTATCATTTGCTTCAAAGTCAAGTGGACTTGGTTGATACTTACCGTAGTTTCAGCAAGAAGATCCCGTGAAAGTTGGTACTGTCCCTCCACGAAGGCCAGTGTGGCCTTCACATATAACAGCGTAACCTTATGAGTGGATTTGCTTGCAAACCTTTCCACTGTTTCCAGAAAAATTCTGGTGGCCATTCCCTGACTCAGCTTAGCCAGTCGATGGGCAAGCTGTAACCAGTTCTCAACCACATAGTCCAAAAACAACTCATCTCCAACTGAGTTTTGTAAACGCAGTAGACTGAAGAAAAAGACAACGAGGGTTTAACTTTGATAATTTTCTCACAATAAATGGGCAAACACATTCTAATCGATCAAACTATTTACGTGGGTTTTGACGGAACCAGTAAAATTCTGAACTTTTTATACTACTTTGAAGCGAGTGTTTTTCACTGCTGTCGAGTTTCAGGAATACAAAGTCAGGTGTTGTACATTATTTGCCTTCCTGTGAAAATTTATTCAAGGTTTACGATGGATTAAGACCAAGAAACAAGAATTTCCTCAGAAAAAAGTAGAAAATCATTTGAGATGTTACACGGAAACTAATCAAAACAACGATGGCTTGTGAGGTGAAAGAGTGCACGCGAGCAAACCTCAGCAAAAATGTCCAAATGGATCTGTTGTCTGTTAAATTTCAATGCCAAAAGTAATGAAAATCACGCAGCAACAAGTCAAGTTTACTCTGAACGGTAGGAGTGGCAACTTTGTCCTTGGGCATAGATCGTGAAACCCCACCTAAAGCACTTTTGCTTGCTTCAAGACTAGATTGAGCTATCAGTATGGGGCGAAAAAGATTTTGAGCTTTGGTTCCATAATTCGTCTTATTTGGCGTTCATCTTGACAGAATGCCGTCCTCGCAATTAAAATTGAGGCTTGCAAGCTGACATAGCAAGTGGCGATGGTGTTGAAAAATTCTGTTTGGGTGAACAACCTTAATAACTCAAGGCCAACTGGGATGCTCCTGAAACGTTGAGATTGATTACAATCTAATTAGAATCCTTCTAGCAAGACAGTGCAACTCCACGTACACTTTTGTCCTCAGTATTTGATATCAGGCACCATTCACTTTCCCCCAGTAATCTTACACGGTGACAACAAGGGTTCGTTCTCCTAATGTGGTTTGTGGCACTCTAGAGCACACCAAAAATGTGACAACAGAATGTAATGCTCACAAGGAAGGATGCGGAGGTTGGTTACTCGGCTGCTTAGTACGTAATCAGATAACATGAAATGTTTAGTCTCACGGACCGTAGTCCTGCAGAGGCTTAAGACGTGGGTTTGGACTGCTGGGACTGTATTTAGCTCTTCACGGTGGAGTCACAAACAAATCAGATCCATGAGAGAGCAAGCAACTCATCACCTTTTATAATATTAATACATGCTACCACGGCAGACGAACATCTGTTTTCACATAAAAAGCGAACTCACCGAAACACTTCGTTCTCATCCGGAACGACACTTCCCAGCTGACTTTTGTGATGGTCGACACCACGAGAAGAATTTAGTGAGCAGCAAACTTCCAGGAGTCTATAATAAAAAAATAATAGGATGATTCAAGATGAACGAAATTCTTCGCAGAAGTTGCTATGATAATAGAGAGGTACAAGTCAATGTGCTACTGGTAACAGTCTTATTGTTTCAAAATTGCTTGGGTCAGGTACCCACACGGTATTACTTGCAATGATGTAAAAGTAGGCTCGTGTCGATAGGTAGCACCCTCTTTAAGACAGTACTAGGCCAACACAACTAGTGCTAACATGTTAATTTTACCCGTCAGCTGTTTGGAATTTTTCGTAAAAAACATGGACCTGGTTGCGCGGTACTAGCTGAAAAGCTTTAAGGCACAAATAAACTACACTGAAGAGTGTTCCGATGCGATACAACATGTGACTAAGTGTTCAGATAAATGATATTACAGCTCTGTCTTATTCAGTGACAGATGTCTCGAAAGTCATCATGCCAATGATGACACACAGAATAAACTTGCTGTTAGTCCATCTTCAGGCCACCTACGGGCTCAGAATTAGCAATTGTACGGCCGCAACACTTCTTCTTCTTCCTGCAACACTCAAATGAAGGGTTGATAACATCAGTAGATGTAGTACACTGCGGAAGACTCCAAGCAAGTTGGGGTGTTCTTCACCTTCGCAATGTTGGAAACAGTGCTCTGTGGACCAACACGTGTCACAAACCATACCATGATTTTTGGTTATTCTCTTTGGAAATATAACGCTGGGATTATATCGTCGTTCAGCTGTAACACCCATTCGGTGTCTAGCTGTCATGCTACCTAAAGGAAGCACAAGGGCTGGGATACTGTCAGGTTGCCCAAGGTTAGACAGGGGAAATCGTGAAGCAGAGGTTGGGTTTGAACCACGGAACTTCCGGTCAGTAGATTCGCGCTCCAACCACTTGAGCCATCTCGCTCCTTGGATTACATAGTTGGCGTTTAATCAAATTTGCTGTGCTCCATATTAGCAGTGACGTAGAAGTCAGACAAACATATAGGTAATCATTTAGACTGCTTATAAAGACAGATGACCAGATGTGCAGTTGTACAAACGGAGGAGCTGAACGACGTACCAGTGAATTAAACTGAACTCAGTTGAGTTCACTCCAGCTGGGTCAAGTTGTGGGTGTGTGTTACAAATCGTATGAGAGCACAACATTCGACGCGAATTCCCCACTTACTTCAATCGTGCCAACTGACTACCAGATGGAGTTCTTGTGATCAAATCCATAGTGCTTCCCGTAGAAATAGTTGAAGACGTCAGACAAAGTTGTAGAGTGAGTACTGGTAAGGCCAGATGTGTCAAGCCAACCTCTGTTAACAAATCTGCCAGTCGTGTTAACGAGGATACTGTGGTAAACTGTGGGTGGGAGTAAGAGTGTGAAGGCGCCTTGAACAGGTTGCAAATACACATGTACAGGTTTAGCTTTTTGCCTTTAAACGGTGAACAACAGAGAAAAAAGTCATAGGAAACACCAGAAAGCATATATTCAGGGCAGCCAGTGCCATTTTTCTTGCAGACAAGTCTGTCCATGACTGTTCATTGCGACTAACGATGACAAATGCTTACTAACACAAAACGCCATGAAAAATCATCGGTTTCTCCCAGAAATTACAGGACAGTTTATCAAGTCAAGCTTGTCAAAGTTTACTGCACAGCCTCCACTTGTCTGACCTAAATTACCAATTAATTTATTGCTTGATTTTTTTAACTGGTTCGACAAAACGTTGGGTTATACACAAAGCTTGTTCTGTTAGTCTCCGCAACATTCACTAACTTTATTTAGGTAGGTAACTCAGTAGCTAGAGTAAACTTGTGTTAAGTTCTTATTCAGTATACGTTTGTTTGACAGGCACTAACGAGCCTTGTGTCGGCCAGCTCGTCTACAAGCAGATATCAGAATGCTTAACACCGAACAGCGCTAGGTCCGTTTCCTCACCCATTATTTTTTCGTCATTTCAATCTTAGGCCTTAGGTATAAGTAAGACAGTTAGGCATCAGCATCAGCACTGATGTTGATGTCACTGATGATGATGATAATGATGGTAGCTGGTGAGGCCCAACGTAAATATCTGAGGGCAACTCAAACAGGCATAATAAAAAAATGGGAAGCAGCTGTGTCACCTTGTTAAGCGGCATAGTACGCAGTATGCTTCATAGTCTACAGAAGTAGAGCCTTTTGGTAGTGCGGGGAGAGTTAGGAATGTTTTAGTGGAGAGTTCGTCATGTACTTGATGCAACTCTAGGCTGAGAAGCCAAGAAGCACTGTAGCGCTGCTTCATCCTTACGGGGAATCCTTGGCAGCGCGCATCTCGCCGAACTTTACAATGAAGAATAAGGGACGCTATATCCTCTCTGAGTGCTGGTCAGTCACTCATGGCAGAACAATAAGGTGATTGCCAGTTTCACACTCTCTGAAGTTTCGTGAGATGCGCACTGCTCATGAACTAAAATGAGGATGAAGTAGATGCGCAGTGCTCTTAGGCTTTTCAGCACTGACTGGATTTACTTACTACACGAGATCTCCATTAGAATTAGAGTTTACGTTTCTGTTTGTCCAGCAGCGTACCGTGCATAATAAACATGGGGAATTGCCTTGGTGCTACCATGAACATTTTTGAAACCATATATCGACCTTGTGACTTGCTCCGACAACAAATCCATCTTAGAACTAACGGAGATTGTATTTTTTGTGTTAGTTTCTAAATGTTTACACGAATTGATCAGAAATCCGAGAGTTATTTTGTATCCTTCTTGAAGATTTTGGAATCACTCTGGAGATTCAGCTTTCGTATCTTTGAATTGGGCCTCGAAAATCAGGAAATAACAACCAAATAAAAATATATTTGGAAAATGAATTTTTAACACAGCGAGGGGTTGTCATCATGAGTTCGAATGATATCTACTGGCTTTTGGTTGTACTCTTCTCCTTCCTTTGTCAAATGTCCCAGATAGCTCAATGGCTAAGGCGCGAGTTTATTAGCTGGAAGGTTCGAAATCTCGACTGCTTCTATCTAGGCTTGAGCAGCATGGCAGTATCTCATCCCTAATGCTTTCTTCGGGTAGCACAGCAGCTAGAAACCTTGAGGCTGTTACGGCCAAATGATCATTGATTAGTTTTTCATTCCCTGTGAGGCATCATTTAACGAAGGTACAGAAATACCTTGCCGACTAGATTCACGTTCATGTTAGAAAGACACCGAAATGGTTTTACTCTTTGTGTTCTATCATCCCATCAGTGCTAATCTAAGAAAGCTTTAGGAAATCTGCTTATCATTAACACGACTGCCCCTGCTAGGCCAATCCTAACTCTTTACAAGTAAACTCTTTTTCAGGAGACTTACTGTAACAGTGAAATTATGGTTAGTTCAGCTGTCAGTAGCGTGTTATACTGTTTTATGCAGCGATCTAAACCACAATACCGTGCATCTTTACAAGCTGTAGTTAAGCTCGTCTGGAAACCATGAGTGCACATGAAAAAACGAAGTACATCATGCTGCATCTTCAGTGTTACCATTAAGTTGACAGTTTGGTCAAGAAGAAGTGAATCCGCTGTAGTTAAGCTCATCTGGAAACCATGAGTGCACGTGAAAAAACGAAGTACACCATGCCGCAACTTCAGTGTTACTGTTAGATTGACAGTTTGGTCAAGAAGAAGTGAATCCGCAGCCTGAGAAACTGTTGGGAACCATTTTAGCCTGGAGGTTATCTGAACTAAGCATTTGGATAAATAAGCCCAAGGAACTCGCTTCAGTGGGTTGAACTCTCTGTGAGTATTAACACTAAGGTGAACTTTCGAAGCGGTTTTTAGGACTTCACTGATGTTTAAGAGCCCTTCCACCTACGTTTCGCCAACTACTAACTGTACTGATTCATTCGAGTCTTGCTATCTTCCAGGCTGCATTGGTTGTTATAACTTGAAAAATGCCTAAAAACCTTTTTTAGATAGAGTGCGTCGGATTGTTTTCTCGTGCTCACCTCACGCACCATGTGGTATCTTGACGGGAAATACAGTGCATTGTGCCTTTTCGTTGAACTGATTAGGAGTGTAACATGATGTAGGGCATTGTTTCCACAATTGAAGTGGAACTAAGCTTTGGTGGGAAGGGGTTTGTCAACGTTGTTGAATCTAGGTTTTGGGTAGTTCAGGTTTTAAACCGTCTATTGGGGTACTGGTTTGTGCATCCCTCCTAAGTCTACACTATGCCTTGTTTACATGGATGAAATAAACTATGGCCATTAGATTATCAAAAATTATTCTAAGGAAGACTATGGCAACTAGTATAGTCTTCGCGTTTTCGGGCCAGTATACTAAGGGCCCATTATGCTTCATTTATGTACAAAACTGAGAAACACTATAAACCCCAGAAAATCCATCCTCATAACGGTTCAATTGGCCGCATAAAAACCCGTTAACTTACTGGAGAGGGAAACGTATAAGGGTTGATCTGCTGTCGCACAAAGTCCTCCGCAGCTGTAAGCATCTCCGATTTTTCCTCATCCAAAGGAGGTGCTGTCTGGTTCTTATGTTGCGAATTCTTACAATGTGCGTGCCATATTTCGTAAACCTTTTGCCAGACGCGCAAAGTATCACTGGATACCTCAAAGGCTACCCAGTCATGTAAGGTACTGGGTACCGAGTCGAATGGTATATGATCAGTGAAATCCATCTGAATAGTGAAAGCGACGTATAACAGTAACACATGCAGTCTAAGCCAATTCTTGTTATCTTGTTACTTGCTGACTTCGTGGTTTAGATAAGATATTTAAGAGAAAAGCGTGAAAGCAGAAACTCCGGATTCAAAATCTATCTATCTATCTATCTATCTATCTAACTACCTATCTATCTTATCTATCTATCTATCTATCTATCTATCTATCTATCTATCTATCTATCTATCTATCTATCTATCTATCTATCTATCTATCTATCTATCTATCTATCTATCTATCTATCTATCTATCTATCTATCTATCTATCTATCTATCTATCTATCTATCTATCTATCTATCTATCTATCTATCTATCTATCTCTTCGTCATTTTTAACCCCCAAAAGCTCAACTTTGGTTCTTTCTACCGAACAAACACAAAATCTCTCTCTGGAAATGAATAACATAAATATGAGGCGCATAGACCTTGTACCAATCAGCATTATTGATTTCGCAGTGAACCGATTCAGCTTGTCAGGAGGAAAATGCAATATCGACACGACTGCGTCCTGCATACTCCTGCCATAGATTAGAACAATCCTATTCCCATTTCACAAAAATTGCATGCGGTAAGTCACCTGGGTCACATTTGGTTTAACGTGCGAAATGCGGCACCGTTCTCATTTAACAGCTAACATACACCAGCCAAAAAGAAAGTACAAAACACTTCAGTGGTTTCTCAGCGATAGAATTCAGAAGTCCTGATTGCGGACTGCAATTTCAAATTAAACACCGATGTTTTCCAGAGCTGTTTCGCGGTATTCAATTACTGCGAATGGTGCAATGACCGTGCATTTTTGGATTTTGAAAAAAAGCTGAATGTGATACCTCCATCTCAAAACCCCTCTCAAAATATCTGTCAGTCCTCGCAAGCCGATAGAGAATCTTTTCATGGATGGGTTAAAGCAGATCAACCTGAACCGGCTTTGTTGCCTCCGGGGAAGAAGTTGCTGGTCACATCCAAACGCCAAAAAATTAACTGGGTCAGCCGGATGTGGTTGTTTCAGCATGGTTTACATTTCTGAAATGGGCACTTAGGAAAAATATTTAGATGGAACTATAGCTGCAACTCCAAACAACCTGAGTTCTCAGCAAATTTTATCCTTCCAGAAAGACTTGATAATTGCCACACTATGGGCCGTAAGATCAACTTCTACCAACTTGTTTTGTGAGTTCACTCTGATGGCTATATTTCAATCTTTA